GGGGGGGGGGGGGGAAGTATTAAATTTTAAATATATATAAATAAAATATGAAATTTTGTGGAGATAATTGTTCTCCATTACTCTCAACATGCATCCATCCTTATCATCATTTATGTGTATCAAATTTTAATTTTTATAGATAATTTTTTTTAATATACCAAAATTCTTATGATTAAAGAAATTCCAATATTTTTTTTAAGTATGGGTTAAAACCTGATCATACACATGATGTAATGAAATAATATTTATTTTTATATAACATTTATGTCATTATTTGTATAATAATATAATTTATATATATATTTTGAAATAAATAATTGCTCCACAAATTCAAGTTTCTAAGTCTGCCATTGTATGTGTGTGCAACCAAAGTATATTTTATAAAATGTTTCCAATTTTTTTTCTTTGACATCTTTAACAATCTTCTGAAAGGGAAAAAGAAAAAGAAAATAAATTTGGGAGTTGATTTAAAAAGAGATGAAAAATAAAAGTAGGTAATAGAGCTTGAGAGGAGCATGGAAGGGAATGTATAGGGCGGGAAGAAGGCATGTTAAAGGAGTAAAAAGAAAAGGGATGTGCTGGTGCGCTTTACAAATACAGAGAAATAGATAAATATCAAAAGAAACGCTACACGATTGGATTGGACAGTGGGAAAATCTGACTAAAGGTGCCATGCCAACCCTCCATATTTGATCATTCATATACTCTTCTTCTTTACCATTTTTCAATGAAAATTTCCATAAACAAAATAAATGAATACTAATATTGAGAGAGCAAGCATGTTATGGGCGAAGGGCCACTGTGTCCCCTCTTCTTCCGTCTTGCTTCCCTACAATCATACACTAACACCCAATTCATATACTATAATTCATATATTTTATATGTAATGTGCATATTAATTAGTTTATTGTTTACTATGATCCCTCTCTATATCCTAAATTAATTGAACCAAAAATATCTGTTATACCCATACTTTTATTGCGTATTTGCTTCACATACAAATCTCTATCTCTATCCTAAAACAATGCTTTCTAATCTTGGCTAAAGTCAGACTGCGACCGCCCATTCTTCCTATAAAACCCTTCCACTTTCCCTCCTCCTTATTTTATTCTCGTCACTCCACTAAATTAAATCTCATAAATTCATAATGAAATGCAAAATTATTTCATGTAATATAAAATACTTTTTATTCTTATTTTTCTCACATGAATAAAATGAAATAATATATTTAGTCGTGATTTTATGTTCAAAGTAGAGTTGAATATCACATGCTAAATTATTTATATTAACAATTGTAATTAAACATTGATTGTTTTAAAATATATAAAATAAAACGTAATAAAACTTTGCATAAAACATACGTAGATGATGGGTAGTTCTTGAACTACAAAAAACAAAAAACAAAAAACAAGTTAATAAAATTAGGCACCCAATAACTGGTATATATATATATATATATATATATATAGTTACGATGTAAAATTGATTGGTATTATGATTGACGTAGAATATGAAGAAATGGACCATGGGTAAAAAATTGTCGGTTTGAGGAGTTGAGATGATTTTATGGATATACATAGAGAGATGCATGGAGGCATGGGCATTTAGCGTTGATATATTGAAAATTATAGCATAGAAATGTCACTGTTGTGTGGCATATCTACAGCCATCCTCGTTTTTGGTGCAACCCTAAGCACTAGCACCAGCACCAGCAGCTCAGTCCTTTCTCTCTCTTAGACCACCTCTATATCTGTGCATAATCCCTCCCCATATTTCTTCAACCTCTCTCTCTTTCTTTCTCTCTCTGCAACATCGCACTTTCCAAAGACACCCAACTCAACTTCAAACCCCATAGTTCACATAAGCATGACCATGGACTCTTCTTCACCACCTTCCCACAACAACACCAACTCACTCCCTTTCTCTCTTTCCAATCACTTCCAGAACCCTTCTTCTTCTTCTTCCTCCTCTTCCTCTCCCCTCTCTCTTTTCCACTCCTTCACCTATCCATCACTCACTCTCACAGGTTCTCTCTCTCTCTCTCTCTCTATTCACGTTTCTATTCTTTTCATTTTTTTTTCTCTCACTATAATATCATTTTCATTTTATCTTCCAGGCAGTACCACGGTGGACGCATCCCCCGAGGCCACCGCCGCCGGAGCAACCAACCTCTCCATATTCACCGGCGCCCCAAAGTTCGAGGACTTTCTGGGCGGCTCCGCCACCTGTGCACCGCCACAGCTTCCGCAGTTCTCCACCGACAACAACAACAACAACCTTTACGATTCGGAGCTTAAGACAACAATAGCCGCGTGCTTCCCTCGCGGCTTCGCCGCCGAAGCCACCGCCGAACCGCAAAAGCCCTCCCCCAAGAAAACTGTGGACACCTTCGGTCAACGCACCTCCATCTACCGCGGCGTTACACGGTGCCTTATTCAATATCCAACAGTACCTTCTATATTCTTTATTTGAATTATTTTTTATAATTTTATATTTATTTATTTGCAGACATAGATGGACCGGGAGATATGAGGCTCATCTGTGGGATAATAGTTGTAGAAGGGAGGGACAAAGTAGAAAAGGAAGGCAAGGTAATAATTTTAATTTTAATATTTACATGCTAATTAATCATGAGTTATGGCATGTTGTGACTAAGATTAATATGCGCTTGGAGGGTTCATGCACTAACCGGGTCCACGAGATCTGGGAGTGAGGCAGAGTGAGTGTGAGATGGTCCACTGAATGTGACCGGAATAAATGGGAGTTAAAGAATGTGGCTCGCTATTTCAAATCCCAATGCAAACCTTTCAATGGTTCAGATTCTTCTGCCACCAGCATTAGATTGCTCTACATATTTTTTTGGCGTATTGCTATAGTGTGTCATGTCTATTTAGGTTCTAGGATGATATAGTGCAACTGCAACAGTGACACAGTGCTTGCGTTTGTTTATTCATTAATAATTAATAATTAATAATTAATAATTTTATTATAAGTGTAAGCGAATGGGTGGTGGTGGTGGTAGTGTTGTTGTTGTTGAAGATTCTGACCGTGCTTTCGTTTGTTTGCTTTTGCTCCTGGGGAATGATTGCTGACTTCGTGGGATCTTTTGCTCATTATGTCCTTTCAGTTTACTTGGGTGAGTATGCTTTGCTTTAATTTGCAACATTGACCTCATCATTTTGTTTTACCGTCACGAAGCATATTCTCTCCCTTCTCCTGTTCATTTATGATCATCATCAACGTGATTGCGCATTTCTTAGATTCAGATTCCTCTCATGGATTGGTAATCATTTTAGTCAAAAAATGACTTTTTGTTTCTTCTTCCTTCGTGTGTTATAGGTGGTTATGACAAGGAAGATAAGGCAGCCAGAGCTTACGATCTTGCAGCTCTCAAGTACTGGGGTCCAACTACCACCACCAACTTTCCAGTAAGTAGTAGTAGAAGGGACATTCCTTTCATTTCACTAATGCCTTATTTTTTTGCCTCTATTATTATACTATTCTCATATCTCTAGTCTTATTCAACACTCCCAGTATGTTATATCTATTCTGCATTTCACAGATTTCCAACTATGAGAAGGAACTGGATGAGATGAAGAACATGACCAGGCAAGAGTTTGTTGCTTCTCTACGAAGGTAAAATTAAATATTTACTTTTTATTTTTGAATGGTTTCACGAGTTATCATGACATTAGATATGTATGACAGTAGTTTCATGGTTATGTTTAATTCATTTTCTTTCTCCATATTATAGGAAGAGCAGTGGTTTCTCTAGGGGGGCCTCTATATACAGAGGAGTGACGAGGTATGTATATGTGTACTTTTACGTTTTAACGTTTAGTGGCTTCATTGTTCATTTCCTTTGGCCGCTAGCGGTTATGTTTTGATTCTGAATTTTGAATGAATAAAATAAATTGATTCAGACACCACCAGCATGGCCGATGGCAGGCCAGAATTGGCAGAGTTGCCGGAAACAAAGACCTCTACCTTGGCACTTTCAGTAAGTCATCAATAATATATCTTCCATTTATTCACATCAATTATTGTTTACGCATGTGCATTTTTCAAAGGCAAACAACTTTCTCATTTTTAATACAAACATATAATAAACCACTATGGTCGAGATTAGAGTATAATATGCAATAATTAACTTTGGCATCAGGCACCCAAGAAGAAGCTGCGGAGGCCTATGACATTGCAGCTATCAAATTCAGGGGATTAAATGCTGTGACAAACTTCGACATGAGTCGCTACGATGTAAAAAGCATTGCCAATAGCACACTTCCCATTGGAGGATTATCCAGTAAGAACAAAAACAACAACGATTCTGTATCTGAGAGCAAAAGCCACGAGGCAAGCCGATCCGACGAACGCGATCCATCATCAGCTTCATCCGTGACCTTTGGATCACAGTCTCAGCAACAACAGCCACCTTCAAGCTCTACCTTGAGCTTTGCCATTCCGATAAAGCAAGACCCTTCAGATTACTGGTCCGTTCTGGGGTACAATCATAGCCATAATCCTCTTTCCCTCGAAAGGAACACTACTAGTGTTGTTACCTCAGCATCGTTCCCGTGTTCCAACAATGCTAGTAACAATAATGTGACAGCAACACCCTTCCACATGGAGTTCTCAAGTGCCCCCTCAAGCACCGGCAGCGATAACAATGGCGCGTTTTTCAGTGGAGGCATGTTTGTTCATCAGCAACAAAGTGGAAGCAGTGGTTCCTCTTTGAGCTGTTCAATCCCATTCGCCACGCCCATATTTTCTCTAAATAGTAATGCTAGTTATGAGAGCAGTGGTGGTTATGGAAACTGGATTGGTCCAAGCCTGCACACATTCCAATCCCATGCAAAAGCGAGTCTCTTTCAAACGCCAATATTTGGCATGGAATGAGCTCATGCACGAGGTGGTGGGATGAGAATCTGTGCATATAATGATGAAAGTAGTGGTGATGGTGTTTTAGCATGCAATGCATATGCAAGGACGAACTAGTCTCTTTTGCTGATGCAGCAGTTTATGAATGAATGAGTTGGACTGACAGTCATAATTCATCAGAGCCTACCTTATAGCTATACCTAGCTCACACTGTACTAACTCAAAGTTCCTTTCTTGTTATGTTTTCGATATTTTTCTCTTTTTTTTTTTTCTTTTTCTTTTTCGCCTTTAGCTTTTTGTCCCTGTTAATATACTGACATTATTTTCTGAGTATAATGGGAAGAAAATCCTTTTGTAATCTCTTTCATTTCTTTTTTGTTAGTAGTACATCTGTGCGAAAGGCATTGAATGCCCGTTATATTGGCGTACCTTTGCTATGTCTTTTAACTTATTTAGGTAAATTCGCATCAATTCGTTGGTTCCTAGTTGTTTTCTGATTCAGATAATTACAATAACAAACGTAATGGTTTTAAATTTGACTCGGTTTCTCTTATCATATTTTTCTTCTTTAGTTTTGACCTGATTATCTAGAGCATTTTCTTGGTTATCTAGCGTAAGTGGTCTTTCCGATGTTTTTTCGTCCACCTGGTGTGACTTGTGTGCCACGGATAAAGCTGAGATTATATTCGTTGAGCTAGCCTCGGGAGAATTTGAACTCTGGCGTTTATTGTGAGTGCGTGTCTCTTTCTCTTTCGGCTAGACTTGTTTCACATGCAAGCTACCACGCATCTCTCTGTACTTTATAGAGTCAGTCATTTGCTTTTACTTTTTACTTTGTTCAAAAAAGAATAATGAATATTTGTTTCTTTTTAGATTAGTGCATATTTCTCCATTGGCTTATAGTAGGATTTTATTTTGTGCGTAATTTTTATCTTAAAAAATAATTTCAGAATTCAGATAGTTATTAACTTTCAGATATTAGTTTAATCAAATAAATTTAAGATAAGAATAAGTACATATTTTGCTATTAATTTCGAATGATAATTTTGAGTAGATATTGTTCTTATAGAAATCCAGTCTGTCCAGAATATGGTGGTGCATGCTTGCGTGCATTTTTATTCATTTTAAGTAAATGGTCCGGTTGAATTTCATAATGCTATTCTCGACTTATCAAGACAAATGGTCAACTGGACAACCATATAGTTCAAGAAATTCGTCTATGATACACCTGGATGCTTCCGTCGTTTAGGTCTGGTAACAATCCACTAACAAAAATGACGTAGACAAGTTTTAAAAAGTCATCGTTTTAAACTGCAATAATAATCAACACATTATTTTATATCATTTTTCAATTTTAATTGGGTAATAAAATAAAAAATACACATTTTAACCCTATTTTATTTATATACTTTCCAAAACAAAACATATAAAGGGAACTGTGATGCATAAACAATAAAGATCTTCAATTCCTCTAAAAAATAAATAAATAAATAAAGATCTTCAAAATGCTTTTCTGTACTAGTTTTAGTGTGTTTGGTTTTCAATTTGGAAGAAGCAAAAGTACGTTCATTTAAAAGTTTCTTCTCACATACTTCTCCGTTCAGTTGCCTAGGAATGAGTGCTACTAATAAAACAAATATACTTTGTGTTCAACTAGGGCACGACTAGAAAGATCTTAAGGATAGATCCTACTCAATTTAGCTAGCTAGTTGTTAAACATGATTTCTTTAGATTAATCAAATACAATTGTTTTAGTAGGTTTTGTCTTTCGCTGCTCTTTGTTATACAATGAATAAACACATCAGTTTGTTATAACCAACAATTAAGTAATTAACTATTATATCTCTTTATTCTATTTTCACGGTCCTAATAGTCAAACTCCACAATTCAGCAATGTATATACTAACTTAGGAATATGCAATAATTGGTCCTATATGCTTGTGTACTATTTACATTAGAAAGGTAAGTCGGGGGCCACTAATTATGAGGAAGCACAATTTTGACCAAAAGTTGGATAATCGAAATTCAAAAGTGATAAAAATAAAGTGTAACTAGCTAGCAAGATCATGATATACATAGGACAGAACCAAAAACCATAATATTGTTAGTGTTGTTGTGAACTTTTTGTGATGGGTCCCTTCCTTTTAGACTAGTTACAACTGGACATAGTTTGGAGACATAGTTCAAAAATTTGAAAGAAAAATGGAACGAGAAAAGGAGGGAATAGAAGAAGGGATCGCCAAAGAAAAAGAAAAAAAATGTGTCTTTTCTTGTCTCTTAAACCCTAAGGATTACATGATGAGTGTCCTTTGTACCTTTCGGCGCTTATTAGATCCTTCCCCACCATGCCCTCATCTTTGACCATAGATTTGACTATTGCATCTTTTTGCTTGAAGCACAATAACATATTGAAGTGTACTGAAAATGGATGCTATAGCACGAATACAGTATGTTCGGAATAACGCTCCGATATGTCCAAAATTAACTCCAACCCCTTCATCCGAACGAAAAGAGAGGAGAATATTCCATTAATATGATGGAAAGAGATGTCACAGAAACTGCTACCATGCACCAGGACGAGGGTATACATCCTTACCAGGTTAAACACAAGTACACAACTAACTAAATAGTAAAACCAATTTAATTTGTCTTTAATCATGCATAGATTGTTCAGATCGTGTGGTCAGCTTCTATAAGATTTTGCCATCATGCATCTTTTTAACTATCATAATATATCTCTCATCATATATGTCTCTTTGATGATTTTCGTTTATCTCAAAATATTTTTTCAATTTACAAAATTAGGAAAGCAGTGATTTTGTTTTATTTTCTAATATTTCTTTCATTTATTAATACTTCACCTAAATACTTGAAAATTTTACAAAACAGTAATACGTTTGTTAAAATAAATTAGTCATTTTACTATAGGAATTTGTATAATTAATATTAATTTTTTAAAAAATCAACTTATAATAATACTAATAATATAGAATGTAATCATGAAAGGAGTGTCCACTGTCAAGCATATTACACCGTATCACATTGCTTGAGGGGATAAGGTATACCAATTAATTTCAATCAATTAGTAGTATTGAGTTGGATATCAATAAGTCATGCTAGTTTTCATGGAACAAATTCATTACAAGATCTCCGTTTAATTAACGCGTCTAAAATCGTTAGAGTTTCTTTTTTATTGTTAAACAAATGCTTCACCTGATATAGTTCCTACAATTTTGAAACACTTCATCTGTCTCGTATTAATTATTTGTCTTTTAATTAAGTTAATACACATTTGTTTACAAAAATATATTGATTATGCTAATTACAATAAAATTATTATATTCTTATTAAAAAAGTGATTGACTTCGTGTGCGTTTATAGGACTCATTGGGATCCGGAGTCTCCATATAGGGTTTCTTCCTGTTTCGTTCTATTCATAATAATATATACCCGTGGTGTATATTACATTAATTACCTGTGAAATGTAAGTTTTGTAAAGAAAGCTGGACTACTGGGTCAGTGTTGCAATTTGCATGCATGAATTATACGAGATTCCGGGATAATTCAAAGTTTGGCTGACCTTATCCAAGTTGGCTCGAGCATTATTAGCTACCATAATTTTTCAAAGAAAATTTTGTCTGTTTATTCGAGTAATAAACAATTATACGTAATTGTCATTATTGGGACATAGGTACTAGTATTGGCTAGGAGTATAGTATGAAAGTCCCAGGCATTGTCGCCCATAATAATTAAGGTCTTGCATGTGTTCATAATAATTAAGCCTTAATTTGTCTCCACTCAAATGCCCTACCTACAAATTTTAAGTCAAGCGAAAAACCACAGCCACCAACATTATATAAATAGAGAAAGAAATACGTCACACGGTCACAGTTACTTTGATTCGAAGAAACCCAAGTAATCACCGTTGAGATAGTGGGAATGGTCCTTCATATCCTTCAAAGAAGGAGGCTCCATGTTTAAACTATTTATTTCCGAATATAACCGTCGTATTAAGATCAAATATATGTAGATGAAAGTCTAGCTTGAGAAGTTAACTCAGTTCTGAGAAGGGTATTTAACAACACAATCGGTCTCTTCATTTATATATATGTATATAGTTCTAGAGTGAGAAAAACGTGGGCGGGCATCGATTAATTTGTACGAAAGTAATTGATAACTTTATGTCAACCTAGTTGATGTGTTCAAACTTCAAACCAAGTTGACAGGCACATGCATATATATGTTGAAAAGGCTACACTTTGAAATGGAACAAAATGAATAATGGTAGTCAAATGTAAAACTGCAAAAAGCTCCCTCCTTTTCCTTTATTCTTGTTAAATTTGAGCGTAGGGGACCTCTTTTTTCTGTTTTCTTTCTGTAATGCTTTTTTTTTGGGTGAGTTAAGTCACAATCTATGTTCCCCATACGAACAACTTATGTCGGCCATAGGATAATACAAACATAAAACTTTGTTGATTTATTAATTACATGTCTTCTTTTTGGCTGGGTGAGTACCTTTGACTGAGGCCTAAAATTGTATCTATGCTAGCTAGCTACCAAACCCACTATTTGTTTTGTTTGTGTTTCTTTTTATGTTAATATAATGACGAAAGTATTAGAGCAAGTGTTCCTTTTGGGATGAGAACAAGAAATCATGGACATAATTAACAAATATTGCTTAGTTTGTCCGTCGTACACTCCTTTTTTAAATTAGTGTGAGGAAGGAATTATTATAATCATTTGTTAATATTGTGATAATCATGCGTTGATGAAGCCTCACGTGCTTTTTCTGACCAGCGAAGCGTGCGGTTCGACGTCAGAATTAGATTGACCAGATCTTATTTCTCTACTCCTTTAGTTTATATTTCCCGATTGATCTCAGATCTCTCCCGATACTCTTTTTTAATTCATTTTTGAAATGTATTAGTGGATGAAATTTTTATCGATCAAGCCTTTTTATTCGGTGGTAGTAAGATATATTTTGAGATACGATATTCATATGCTATTTTTAGAAATGCATTAATTTTGAGATATTACACATGTATTTAGTGATAAATATTTGTCTAAAGTTTTCAATATAAAGTCTTAAGCTCTTGTTCTTTGGTCTTTAAGATTATAATGGTTGTAAGCTACCTTCTGAAATATATATATATATATGTAAATAAATGGTTTCAAGTAAATATTCGCTCAATATATATATATATATATATATAAGAAAATATTATCATTAAATATTCAATCAATTAAGTGCATTCAAAAAATTTATTATTATGTAACGTTTGAATGTTACTTTCTCTAAAGTTTAATCGCAGAGGAATGTATTCAATAAGATTAAGAATTCTTTGACCTACAGCATATTACATTCGATTTAGATTAAAATGTTATCAAATTTTATGTAGGTCGATAACACTTAAGTTTCTGACAAGGA